TTTAAAAAGTTTGGCAGAGGCCAAACTGTGGGTTCAGGCCAGCTGGGGGTAAAGGGAGACCCTTTTTCAAAAAAACCAAAAAAAAAAAAAAAAAAAGGTATTGTGGGCAATAGCATGCGGTTTTTGTCTTGTCTTTTTGTCTCTTAGTTTTATAGTTTTAGGTCTTATATTTGAATTTTAAAAAATGGATGGATTTGTGTTATTTATTTGTGAGTGCACTGGATGGCGGAGAGAGCATAGATGACCTTCTTTATCCAAATAAAGCTATATTTCCTCAATTGTATGTGTCAAAGTGACTTGTACAATATGTCACTGAGTCATTGCCAAGTAGATATTTATTTACAATGAAGCTTATAATCCCACTGTGTTCTCACACAAAAAAAGGATGTTCGTAAGTTCCAGGAAGGTCAAAGTTAAAAATAGAGAGCAATGAAAAAACTATTATACAGAGAGAAGATTAGTATGGAGGTCGCAATATAGAACATTTGATGGGTAGTGTTTTCTCATCTTCAAAAGAGAAGGAATAATCTTTTTTTAAACTCAGGGACATGGAGTTAGAAATGCTGTCACACCAGCGCTTCATTCAAGAAAGCTTTTAGAAATTATGCCTGAACTCTCCTACTGGGTGATAGTCAATAGTTCTACCTGACAGTCAACCCTCTCAGAAACCTGAACATGGGTAGAACATATTTTCCAAAAACCCACTAATCATTGTAGACTCCTGGTAGGCACATCCCAAATTGTGCCAAGGGAAGGTTACAAAATAAATAATACCACAGGCTGAACAAGATACACACATACACACAAAAAAAAAGAGAAAAGAAAAATGCAAACTGAGCCAGGAATGGTCTATCACTGAAATAATCCAAGCTGTCAGATGGATTGAGGTCACCAAGATCTCCCTAGCAAGTATCAGTCCACTAAGGAACACATAAAGGACGGAAGGTAAGGAGAGAAAGGAAAGAAAATATTTGGACCTGTATAATGAGGCATGCCTTTGATCCAGCACTTGTGAGGCAGAGATAGATGGATACCTGTGAGTTTTAGGCCAGTTTGGTTTACATAGCAAGTTCCAGGCCAACCAGGGCTGCATAGGGTCACCCTGTTTCGTGTCATGTCATCTCTACCTCTCTACCCTCCAAAAAATCAAAAAGGAAAGAAAATAATAAAGCAATATAAATAACAAATGAAATAAATAAATAAAAATTATGATCCGAGCTTGTCTGTGGTGGTTACACCTGCAATCCCCTCACTTGGGACTATAAAAGGCAAAAAGGTGGCCATGAATTTGAGCACAACCAGGAATACATTGGGACTTACTCTCTAAAAGACAATGTGTGTACATAGTGGACCAGCAAGGGTTCTATCCCAGAAAATAGGATTAGAGAACATCTCTGCTAAGTGCCTGCAAAAGTCACACAGGAGCTTATAAAGAGTTACAGCCTTTGGGTTAAGACACTGAATGTTTCACATTGAGAATGGGGACTGGTGCACAGCTTAAATGGGTTATCATAAACAGCTCCCCCAAGAAGGAAGTGAATTCCCCTTTCAGAATGATTTGTTAATGTGTGAGACGTCCTGGAAGGAAAATTGAGGAAAATGCTCAGCAAATAGGACGGGGACAGGGCCAGTATTTTGTGTGTTTTATCATAAAAGACATCCCTTCCAAAACTCCTTGGCCAGCCAACACCCAAGAACCCTCTGGGATCAAACTCGGGTGGAGACTGCAGGGACGACCAAGATTCTAGCAATGTGCTCTTTGATAATGCTTCAGGCCAAGCCCTTCTCTGTGGCAGCTCCCCTTGCAGAAGCTTCAGGCCCAGGTACTGCCAGTGCCACTGCTGATGCTCATGGAGCCCACAGGGCAGAAGAGAAGGCAAGGCCAGGGGATCCCAGGGCCTTTAACCAGATCAAGGTATGGGAAGTTCAGCTACCAGAGCCACAGAGGGAGGGGAACAGAAGTGAGAAGTGATCAGGAGGAGAAGGAAGGGACAGAGAGACCCTACTTCCAGTAGCCTATGGTGAAGTCACTGAGAAGGGTGTGTGGTGTCAATGTTTCTGATGCACTTGTGTGGAGATTAGAACATCTTGCTGTGGGTGACAGGTGGCATCAAATAGAGAGCAGTGAATAGAAGAAGGGAAGATAAGATCACAGCCAGAACCCACAAACCAGGAATGGCTGAATGGGAAATTTTTCCTGGCATGGTCTTGGCCCTTGGCTTCAGATATTTTTTACTGGTAGGCACATTGATTTGTGTTTTTTTTTTAAAGTACCAAGTGCCAAGTGCTGTAACATTTTTCCTTCCTCTTTCAGAGCTTGCTGGTTGCCATCTGCTTTACAGTACAGGCACTCACAGTGATTTGGAGGCTGATCCATCTTGTGTTAGAAAAACATGAGGGCCACCAGCGTGCCCTGGGAAAGGATTCTGGGACAAGCTCTTTGGTGTGGTGATTTGAAATATTTGGGAGATAAAATGCACACAAAGCTTTCCTTTTGGCATGCTTTTTAGAAGTTCAGGTTCTTGTACACTTACTTGGAGAGGCAGGGCATACATTTGTCCCAAACCAGTATAATTCTAGTTAGAGTGTTTGCACTCCCAAGACCACTTCTTCTATGGGAGAATCGATCTTACCTGATGACATGGTCTCTTCCTTCACACAAATCCTATAATCGCTGATTTGGACAGCAATACAGGGACTCAAGCAATAGTTAAACTGGTCCCTGGGTATGTGAAATAATTTGTTGATACTTCAGTTTTCCAGCCATCAGAACTCAGCTGTGAATTGTGCTCCTGTCCAAAACCCTAAGGATACTTAATTCTTTTGAAAGTTTCAACACTCTCCTTGTTAACCAGAGAAAAAAATGTAATGCAGACAAATCCACTTTAGTGCTTCTCCAACTTCTCTGTCCCTCCAAACCAGCAGGAGAACTTGTTAATATAAAGATTGCTGGATTCAATCTAGAGTTAGTTTGTCAGTTTTGGCATGGGGACCTGAATGTAAATCTCTAATAAATTCCCTGGAGCTGTTACTGCTATATATCTGGTGCCCAAAATAGCACTGATATTGATGAACCTGAAACTGTTACTGGGCATATCTCTGTGAGATGGATATCAGCCTAGTCTAAATAGTTAGTTCCAGGCAAGCTGGTACTACAGGGAGACCCTATCTCAAAAATACCAGAAAAAAACACCCCACATCACATGTGTATGTGTGTGTGTGTGTGTGTATCTGTGTTGTGTTGTGTGTGTGTGTGTGTGTGTGTGTGTGTGTGTGTGTGTGTGTATGATATGGGTATAAACATGTCCATATTTTGTGTATATATCCCATCCATAGAAACGGACATGAATCTGAATCTACCTATTGTTTTGTCAGAATCTCTGAAACAAGAAATTCTCAATGTTTCCACATTTCCCTTAGCAGTGCTAAAACCTACAGAAAAGAGAAAGAGAACAAAATTCAAGAAATGGACACATATGGATGAAGCTGTGGACTTAAGTGACCAGAACTAGGAGGTGAGAGTTGCTCCTAGTGCCAGGGCACACATGTTCCATTTTCACTCCCAGCATGGCATTTCCTGTAGCATCCTCACTTGTAGCTCCACTGACATAAGACCTCTGTATGGAAGGACAATCAGATCTGAACAATAGCACAGTACAGAGGAAGACATATGCATTTTGTTTGTACAGTACATTGAAATCTTTGGTGTATTTTTAAATATTTCATTTACTATTTTTTTGTTTCTGTATATGAGTGTACTGTCTGCATGTATCTAAATGCACCCATGTCATGCAATGCCCACAGAGGACATCGTATTTCCCTGGAACTGGAGTTATGGACCGTTGTTAGCCACCATGTGGGTGCTCGGAATCAAACCTGGATCCTCTGCAAGTACAAACAGTGTACTGGAACACTAAGTCATCTCTCCAGCCCCTTTGATGTATTTTTATTTGCACAATTTTATTTTACATTGAAATGTTGTATGTGTGTATGGGGTACAGTGTCATATGTGTGCACTGTGTAATGATCAAATCAAGAAAACTAACATTTCTACCTAAAATACTTTCCTTTATGAGTTTAACATTTGAAACATCACTTAAGAGTTTTGAAGTATGTGGCACCTCATTGTTAATAATTGTTGCCGTTCTTTTCAGTACAGCTCATAAAAGATTCCTCCCATCAAACTGAAAATTCAACTCCCTTCAATTACCAACCCTCCGTTCTCCACACCTCCTATTCTCCAAATCCTCTAGGTACAAATGCATGTGATTGTTTTAGATTCCTACAGTATGTGAAAAAATAGAGAATTGGTCCTTTTATGCAGGCTTGGCTGTTTGCATATCAGACAGATTTAAACTGTGATCTTGCTAATAATTTACATTGTTATGTGTCAAGGGGTGGGTGAATATGTGTATGGGTAGGTGCTTGTATTTGCATGGGTTCACTTTTCATTTGTAGGCTAATATTTACCTGTGAGTGCATGCATGTTCAGGCTGGAGGACAATTTCCCACAGCATTCTTCAGTTCTCTACTTTTTTCTTTATTAGACAGGGACTCTTACTGGCCTGGACATCACCAAGTATGCAGAAAACGACAAGGTTCTTCCTGTTTCATCCTCCCCAATTGTGAGCCACCATTCTCTCTCTCTCTCTCTCTCTCTCTCTCTCTCTCTCTCTCTGAATACATATATGGTCCTGTGTATACATGTCCCTGTGTTCACATCTGTTTATATTTGTCAGCCCATGTGTATGCATGGGTGGTGTGGTGCTCTGGGATTGATTTTTGATTTTTGAGCATCTTCTTCAATGGCCCTCTGTGATGACTAATCCTGGGTGTCAACTTGACTGGATCTGGGATTAACTGAAATGAGAGAGAGCTTCTTAATTGGATTATCTGAAGCTGGAAGACACACCCTAAATGTGGGTGTTATCTTCTGATGGCAACCCGTATAAAAGGCCATGGCAGAGGAGAATGCCTGGTTCTTGCCTTCTCTCTCACTGGTGAGTTCGTCTTGCTGCTGTAGACTGAAGACTAGCTGATCTTTTGGAGTTTGTCAGACCTTCAGTGCCAGATTGGGACTACTGAGACATCCAGCCTCATGGACTGAGCGACTACAGATTCTCAGCCTCTCCAGTATGGTGCAGCCATTGTTGGACTACTCGGACTCTATCCTGTGAGCTAAACTGATAAATCTCTATACATATATATTCATTCTACCGGTTCTGTTTCTTTGGAAAACCCTAATACACCCTCATATCTTATTTTTTTGAGACATGGTTGTTCACTGAGACTGGACTTTATGACTCAGTTGGACTGGCTAGCCAGCAAGCCCCAAGGATCCTTTTGTCTCACTTTCCTAGGGTGGGATTCCAAGTTGTCCCTCCCAGAACTTTTTACATGGATTTGGGGATATGAATTCAGGTTGTCCTGATTATAGAATCAGCAACTGTGACCTTTCCACAGACCGCTGGTACATTTTTTTTTAACCTTGGTTCTTGGGATCCCATGCAGCTCCTTACTTTTGCAAGACATGCATTTTATAGTCTTTATCACTTAACCAACCGAGCTACCACCCCAGCCGCAGAATTTGCTTATTTTTGAAGGTTATCAAGATTTGTACTATATTATTCCCAATTTTCTTTAACCAACATCTGTTGACAAACATGTAGCTTGATTAATTTCACTATTGTAGATAATGCTGAAATCAGTATTGGGATGCATGTATCCCTTCCAATTACCAATTTCATATCATTTAGATGTGAAAAATGGAGTCTAAGAATATAGCTCAGTGATGGAGCTCTTACCTAGCATGTGCCTAGATGTGGATTTTTCATTAAAACCCATAATGAAAGGATGATTCACATACATAACCTATTGTAATCTTTGCTGTGTTTTGTTTTAGTTTTTTAAAGGATATGTTTATTTAGGTTTCCATAAGGGACCTATTAATTATTTTCCTCTAGACAATGTACATTAATTCCTTCATCTACATGTTCCCCAGCATATCTCTCTCTCTCTCTCTCTCTCTCTCTCTCTCTCTCTCTCTCTCCAGCCTGCTCATCTTCACTTATCCAGAGGTGTTTAGATATAATAGAGTACCATAGATCAGTATTTGCATTTGTTTATTTGGAGATGAAGTCCAAATAATCATACCAAAGACCAGTGTTCCATAGTTTTCTGACTATATTTTTGTCTAGCAGTTTTACAGTTCCAGGTCTTCTGAGTGGAAATAGGAAATATATTTGTTTGTGATGCCCATTATTGTTCATTTTGGATGGTGGAGCTAAGATGATTTTCTTAAACAAAAGAAAGGCATTTTTCTGCCATTATAGATTTCAAAACTTGTTTTAGCACAAAAATAAACAGCACAATGTACGTGCTTTATTTAAAAATCCTCTGTGAATTTCCGTTTACAATGGAATGTATACTCAAACGTCCTCCATTTTAAAAAATGGAGTTTTTTCTAATTTCCAGTAATAAACTATGTGTGAAATAAGAATCAGAAGGACATTTGTGATGGACTACTTGTCAGAGAAAACATATTAGTAGTCAGTATGGAGAAAGTAATGCCAGTAGTTTTGTCATCACCCTTGATAAAATCTCTCCTTCCACAGAAGACATAATCATTGTAAGGTGGGGAGAGAGATCAGAAGTGTTGCTGTTGCCAAGCTTCATTTAAATCCTCCTTCGGAGATTGGCTCTTAATTGTGTCCTGGAAGGAGGCAGTCCACAGATATATCCATCTTTCCCACCTGCCCAACAGCCTGAAAATGGCTAGGACATATTTTCAGAAATTTAATTAAACATTGTAGGCTCCTGCCTGGCTGCCTCCTAAATCATTTCCCGGGCAGGTTACCAAATGAAAGCCCAGACAAAAAACAGAGACAAGCAAAAACAAGGAAATCCACTCTGAACCAGATGTAGTGGTTCGGTGGAACGATCCAAGCGCTCAAGAGGATCAGGCCTCCACAGGCTACTTAGCAATTACCAGTCCAGTGAGGAGCACATCATGAAAGAAAATTTTGGAGTTCTTTTTGAGAAAGGGTCTCCTTGTAGCCCCAGCTGGCCTGGAACTCACTATGTAGACCAGGCTGGTCTTGAACTCACAGAGCTCCACCTGCCTCTGCCACCTGAGTGCTGGAATTAAAGGTGTGTGCTACCACATCTAGCCATGAAAACATACTTAAATAAAATCAGCAAGTGATCCAAAGAAATAAAAGGAAGAAAAGTCAAAGAATCAACAAAACACAATAAAAGTAAAGCAACTCAAAAGGTAGTTGTGTGGCGTACTCCTGTCATCCCAGCACTTGGACGCTGAGTCAGGCAAATCACTATCAGTTTAAGGCCCTTCTAAGCTTAAATTTCGGGCCAGTTAGAACTACACAATAAGTTACTATATAGCAATTATCCATTACCCCCAACACACACACACACACACACACACACACACACACACACACGTACAATTCATTTCTATACTTAGTGACAGCAGACTGGCCATCCAATCCCTGAGTCTTTGGTTTAATTTAATGTCTGTCCTCATCAGATATGCAGTGTAATTTTGGCAGTAACTAAAACTTGAAGAATATATGGAAGAAAATGTTTCAGCTTCAAGGTTTAACCCATCAGAAATGGTGCATGAGAGCTGGACCTTGTTCAAGAGCTCAAATGGATCGCAAAGCTTGCAAGTCAAACTTGAATGAAAAATTGGAAAAATTTTCAGCTGAAGACTATAGTAACAGGCCCAGCATTTTATGTGATTTAAAAAAACATTTTATTTATTAATTTTACTTTATGTGTATGCATGTATTGCCTGCATATAGGTAAGTGCACCCGTGTCATGCAATGCTTGCAGAGGACAGAAGAGATTGTTGGATCCCCTGGAGCTGGAGTTACAGACAGTTGTTAGCTGCTATGTGGGTGCTAGGATTTGAACCTGGGTCTTCTCAAGAATAGTCAGTGTTCTTAACCTCTGAGCCATCTCTCCAGCCAGCATTTTATGTGTTTTATCACATAAGATTCCCTGGTCCAAGAACACATTGACCTGCAAGTTCCCAGGAACTGCTTGGAGTGAAACCTGAGCTGGAAGCTGGAAGAGCCCTGGGGATGTCTGCAGTATGATCGCCTGTATTGTGACCCTTGTATCCTTGGAAGGATACACAGTGCTTCTCTGTGGAAACCAATTTTTATAGAGGATGCTGAGCAGACCCCGTGTGGCCAGTGTTCCTGCTGCTGGTCCTGGAGGTTACACAGCAGTACAGGTCAGCCACAGGGGAGAGGATGAAGAAGGGGATGGTGAGGCTTTTTCTGGGTCAGCACCACACAAATCCAACTTGAAGGGACATCTAGAGATGAGAATCGAAGTGAAAAGAGACCTATGAGGGGGACGTGTATGGTGGACCAAAGACCAGCAACCATTGAAGGTTTAATCATGGGGGGTTTCCTCATGTTCAGCATGTTGATATCAAGATTGGGGCAACTTCAGGATATTTGCATTCTTCCATTTGCAGGATAGATAGAACAGGTGTTTAACTGATGAATGGGGAAATCACCAATGTGAAAATATTGCTGTGTTCCCTCACAATCCCAAGCATCATTTTCCAAGGTGAATTTGCTTGCTTGATCTGGAACCCCTGCTTTCAGATTTGGTTCCCAGTAAGGTAAGTTGATTATGTTAGAAAATACTAAAGCAGCCTGGGGAGAGACCTCAGTGGCTAAAGATTTTTTGCTGCAAGCAGGAAAAACTGTGTTCCATCCCCAGGCCCCAAAGGAAAAAGCCTGGGGATTTTGAGCACTTGCCACCCCAATGCTGTAGAGGCAGATAGAGGAGAGGGATATGCTGGGTTCCCTGGCCAGCTAGCCAAGCCTAATTTTCAAACTCCGGGGCTATGACAGACCCTGTTTCAAAAGAGTCCCACAGTCTCCGTGAGACTGACACTGGAACCTGTTTTACATAGTCTTAGGAACACACATACATCCATGTATACAAGAAAAAAAATACTCATTAAAGAAGTCTAGCTCTCATAGTTATGGAGAACACTATGCAAGCTACTAAGGGAGAACATCAATCAATGGCCCAACCCTAGCTTTAAGGCCTAATAACCACAATAATGACAGGCACAGCAAACTATTTGGGGGCAATAGTGGCGTTTTTATCTTGGGGATAACCAACATCTACCTAATTGGACCTAAAACCCACTCAGTGGGAGGGAATTTATGTGTGGCACTCTGAACATAGCCAAATACGCATGACTGGAGAGGTCATAGATCTTAGAGAAAATCCTAAGGCTGTCACATCCCTAGACAAATGTAATTTCTTAGTATGTGCTAAATACGGCTCCTTACATTTACAGACAAGTATGCCAGTCATCACACATCGAAAAAGCTTCTTTTGCAACAGACAGAGACTTTTACAAAGTCACACACAGAGATTGAGTTTCTGTGAAATGTCCAACCCTAAGTGAAACATCTACAATGCAACCTCTATACCTAGGGCTTATGGAACCTAGTGGAACAAGGGGTAGAGAGATACTAATGCATCTTTCAACTCTCATCAACAAAAATCCCTCATGCAACAGAAGACAATGAATACAAAGGGCCACAAATGGCCAAAGCATAGAAAATAAGA